GGGGGGTTACTGGGGCTAGGCGAGGCCGGGAGATCGGGTTTTGCAGGGTTGGCGTAGGCGACAAAGACCTGGTCATGCCTTGCTGCGACCTGGAAGGCTGGGGCGGAGACGAACGAGACTCGGAGCGGCGTGGGAGCCGGTTCTGGGGTGCTGGAGCGAGATACCTTGGGTACTGGAATCGACCATGTTTTGTCGACGGGGACTTCATCCTGGGGGATGCGGATCAAGGGCTCGGGGGTTCTGGCGGGTGCTGGGCTCGGGGGTGCTGGAGAGTTGTCCCAATTCGGAATTCATGGTACTGACAGTCGCAACGGAAACCGACCGAAAGGTTCTTGAAGTCAAGGTTAATGTCGTGGAGGCGGAGCCAGGGGAGACCAAGGAGGATTGGAGCATGGGGTGATTTGGTGACATGGAAGACGAGTTCTTCGAAGTGGTTGTCGACCCACATGCCTACTGGTTGGGTGTGATGGGTGATTGGCCCAGCAGAGCTGGGTTGACCGTCAACAAGTTCGATCGTCAGTGGACGCTGATGCGGGACTAGGGCGATGCGGTGTTTGCGGGCAAAGTCTCTGTCGATGAAACAGGACAGGGCACCGTTGTCGATCATGGCTGAGGTGGGTATCAGGGCGCGGCTGTATGATACCATGATGGTAACGGGGTAGTTGAAGGGTTCGACGGGACCCAGCGCAAGCATGGCGCGGGGGTTAATTTCGGAGTTTTTGACAAGGGCAGTGGCTAGGAGGGTTGTGTCGGCTATAACGGAGTCGGGAACCAGGGGAATGGCCTCTCCCGTTGCAGGAGCTGCGAGGTTAGGAGGCCCGAGGCGGTGTGTGTTGTCCAGTCGCTGGGGCTTTACTGCGGCTGGACTTTGGGAAAACCCTGTTCGGTGGAGGGTTCTTTGATGTTGACGTTGGCGGCACGGGTGGTGGTCTTGTTCTTGACGGGGCAGACTTTTGCAATGTGCCCCGCGCCACCGCAGTAAAGGCAGAGGTTGTTGGAAATGCGGCGTTGGCGTTCCTGAGGGCTCAGAGGGCCGCGGGGACGAGCGGCGTCAATCTGCATAGGCTCGCTGTGGTCGACAGTGGTGGTAGTAGTAAACGAGGTGTGGGGAACCGGGACAGTCTGGCGGCTTCTGTTTCGTTCCAGGCGGCGCTCAAACATTCGGTTATCGCACTGGATCGCCTGCTGAATCACCGTATCAATGGTGGCAGCAGCAGGCATCGTGAGCATCAGATCCTTGACGTCCTCTTTGAGGCCACGGCGGAAGGTAGCAATCAGGGCCTGGTCGTTCCAGGAGACATCGCATTGTAGCTGGCGGAACTCAGCGACGTACTCGGTTGCTGCATGGGTTTGGCGAAGGTTCTGGAGCTTGTTTTCAGAGGTGCGGACCCTGTCGCTGTCTCCGAAGACCGATTGCATCTGACTGATAAAACTATCGAAGTCCTGAAGGCTGTGATCTTGGCGTTCGACTAGGGGCGCCATCCAGGCTTGCGCAGTGCCGGTGAGGTAGGTGCCAATAGTTTGCATCTTGATGATGTCGCTGGGGTAGCGGTCGGGCTGGAGAGCAAACATCAACCGGATGTTGTTCAACCACCCACGGAATTTGCTGCGGGTACCATCAAACTTCTCGGGCGAGCTGATTCTTGGCTCCAGAGCAGGGTTGGCGACTTGGGGACGGGTGTACGTATCGGCTTGAACCTGGGCGGCGATGCTCTGACCAGCTTGTGCGTCGGCTTGGGCTTGGGCTAGGTTGGCCTGCAAGTTGGCGTTTTGGCTTTGCAAGGCGGCGATGGCTTGGCACATATCGTTCCATTGCTTGGCGGTGAAAGGTACGGATTCGGGTTGGGACATGGCGAAAAAGGTTTGTCGGATGCAGGGCTGGACCGGTTCTGAACTTCGCAGTGTTGGAGCAGATCAAACTGTTATGATCTCGACGATGGGGGCGGAAGCGAAGTAGAGAAGACAGGGCGAGTGTGATAGGCGACAAGAGATTGTTTTGGCGAAACAAGAACCAAGGACTAGAACAGGAGATGAGACGAACTGGTGTTGATCTGCTGGGGAGGAAGGGAATGGACGAAGAGAGGCCGGCTATTTATAGATAGGCAACCCAGCAGATCAGAGAACAACAACAACAAGAGGGGACTGGGGGGCGCCAGCTATGCTCCTAGAGCGTGCGTGGCGAGCGTAGAGAGCATTGCTACAGCTGCTGGCTATGGGGAAGCAGTGGGGGGTGTGGAGAAGCCGAGGGGGATTGGCGAAATGAGAGGAGAGAGGAGGAGTGGCAATATTGCAAGAGGATTGGCGAAATGAGAGGAGAGAGGGGGAGTGGCGATATTGCAAGAGGATTGGCGAAATGAGAGGAGAGAGGAAGAGTGGCATTGACATTGACATTGACACTGACGTTGACATTGACATTGGCGTTGACACTGACATTGACACTGACGTTGACATTGACATTGGCGTTTGACATTTGGCGGTTGACATTGGCGGCTGTCAGTAGGTAAGCTTATGGTATGGGCGCGTTGTCCATAACAAAGGTATGTCGCTCCACGCCGCTCCGAGTCTTGTTCGTCTCCGCCCCAGCCTTCCGGGTCGCAGCAAGGCATGACCAGGTCTTTGTCGCCTACGCCAACCCTGCGAAACCCGATCTCCCGGCCTCGCCTAGCCCCAGTAACCCCCCGACACCCGAGAAAGACATCAAAGACTTCCTGCCCCCCCGAGTGTCAAGACTTCGCTGACGTTCTCGAAAGGAGAAAGGCTGACACTCTCCCCAAGCACCGGCCCTACGACTGTCCAATCAATCTGGAGGAAGGCAAGCAGCCACCTTTCGGCCCGATCTACAGCCTCAGCGAACCAGAAATGAAGGCACTCTGCGAATACCTCGAAGAAAACCTCGCCAAAGGATTCATCGAACCCTCAAAGTCCCCTGCCGGTGCGCCAGTCTTATTTGTGAAGAAAAAGGACGGTTCTCTCCGCCTCTGCGTCGATTATCGAGGCCTGAACAGCATCATGGTGAAGAATCGCTACCCCCTGCCCCTGATCAACGGGATCATGGACCGTTTGCGCGGTGCCCGCCATCTCCCCAAGATCGACCTCCGCGGCGCTTACAACCTCTTACGCATACGCCCGGGCAATGAATGGAAGACCGCCTTCCGCTGCCGCTACGGCCTATTCAAATACAATGTCCTTGCCTTTGGACTCAGCAATGCTCCTGGCGTTTTCCAGTACCTGATGAACGACATCTTCCGCGACATTCTCGATGTGTCTGTTGTCGTCTTCCTTGATGATACCCTGATATTCTCCAAGAACCCCGAAGATCACCCCAAGCACATTGTGGTATGCAGGGAAAATGTGTATGTATTTGGTTAAGGAGTAAACCTTCGACGCCGCGAGCGGGCGGAAGAAGAGAAGAAGAGATACAACATGAGAACACGTGAGTCACATAACTACATATATAAACTAAATAAACTACACGTGGGGAAAGGTGTGGAAGTCCACCCAGGGTTCCGCACCACACCACATCCTCCCCCTGCCTCCGTGGGCTAAGCGAGTGCCAGAAGAGGTGTTTCCGATTGAGATGGACGGCGCTGTCGATGGCAAGTCTGATTTGGTACTACACAGCGTACGGAAGGCAAGGTGTGAATTGTGGAGAGGAGCCGGCCAAGAATGCATCCGAAAGAAAAAGAGTCAATGGCGAAGAAGGAGTCAAACGGCGTGTTGGTACAAACAGGGAGGTTGACGCGACGGAAGAACGACTTGGTTAACGGGGAAATTGGTGTCCTGGAGATGTAAGAAATGAGCCGCAAACGGCGTGTCGGACGGGATCGGAGGTGTACCGGGATGAGCGTCGACAAGAAGTGGCACGATGTCGGAGTCGGCGGAAGCAGTGCTATCTGGGGTGGATGAACGTGGGAAATCATTGGCGATCTCTTGGGACTCGACAGGAAGATCGGGACCAAAAGCGTAGCGAGGAGGGTAACCAGACGGATCGGCAGACGACCGGGGGACGTGGAAGTCCCCACGGAGGGGCCGCGGAAGGCGGAAGAATACCAATCGGGTTGAACGCGGCAGGGGATCAAACGAAGATGATTCACGGGTCGACCGTTGAACGCCAGTTGACCGGATTCCTTGTGAAGCAGATAGGTATTGCCGGGGTAAGCCTTGACGACTTGATACGGGCCAGTCCACCGGGCAACAAGCTTGCGGGTTGAGGTATAACTTTGCTCCAATTCATTGCGGGCGACAAACACCCACAAGCCGATGGCGTACGTTCGAGGAGGACGGCGTTTGGTGTTGATGCGGGCAGTTTCCTTTTTACGAAGCTCATCCGCATGTTGCAAAGCCCAGGTGCGGAGGAGGTTGCGTTCTTCTCGGTAACAATCACTGAGAAGCTCGTCAATGGTGTCTGGATCGAGCGGGGTACGGGTCAAGGTGTTGATGTTGCAATGTTGACCAAAGACCATGTTGTAGGGAGATAAGCTGGTCGTGCGCGACACATGATTGAGATACGTGTGTAGGGCGGTGTCCAAACAGTCTGGCCAAATGGTCAAATTGGGCTCGGAAGGATTCTCCGCGCGACCCAAAACAATATGCGAGAGAGAGCGGGTGAAGTCTTGGACGAATTTCTTGCCCTTGCCGTTACCCATGGGGTGCATAGTAGACGTTGGAACTTGTTCAATCGACTTGCGCGCAGTCCAGGCGGCGAAGGCGCCTTCAAAGAAGTACTGGGCATTGTCCACAACGACGTGGATAGGGAAGCCGTAACAAGCGCACCAGTCACGCATGGCCAGAACAATGGGCGCGCCGTCGAATGCCTTGAGAGGATAGACCCAACCATATGAGGAGGGATAATCAATGATGAGCAAGGCGCCGATATACACGTGGCGGGACTGGAAGATCTGGGCAAGCGGGTAGTTGAAGCAATCGAGCGCGAGAAGAGTGAACAAAGTCGACGGGGGAATTATGCGAAAGAGCTGATATTGATGGGGCCTACGCATTTGACGAAGTTGCCACACATGGCAGGCGCGTATTAACTCTTTGATATCGTTGTACATATCGTACCAAAAGTAGCGCAATGCAATCATCTGGTAAGCTGTGAGAACACCCAGGTGGCCGAATTGGTCCGAACCATGGAAAGTACGTTTGTTATGTGGGACCTCTTCGAGACGAGGAACGAGGCGCGGAGGTATGCCCGGGAGCGCCCGGCGATAGAGGCGGTTTTCGTAGAGAAAGAATTTCTTGGCCAGCGACCGGATGCGATCGTATTGAGCCGGATCGTCGTGGAAGACCGCGTGATCGCCCGCAAGGTAAGTGCAAATGCTTTTGTACGGCTCCCACCCAATGGTGATCAAGTTGACGTGAATGTCGACAGCGAACTCGGTCAATGGCGAATGGCGTAGGGCGTCCAGATCGTCGTCAACGGTCGTGGCGGGAATTTCTGGGGAATTGGCAACGGGTCGTCGAAACAGCCCATCAGCATCGATATGGTCGGCCGTCCGACGAAAGATGTATCACGGCCACCCTTGAGCTGTGGGGATGGGGTTGATAAACTTGAACCACTTCAAGATTCTCTTGTTGGGTGTCTTGACATTCTGGCACCGGATCCATGGGAGATTATCGGTGATGATATAAGATTCAAAGCCGAGATGAAGTGACGCCTTGAGGAGCCTGTAAGCGATAGCGGCGAGTTCACGTTCTGGTTGGCCGTAATGTAACTCGGCGTTGACCCAGGGTCGAGAGAAGAATTCGCACGGTACGTAAGGTGTTTGTGCCGTGACTGCGTAATCGTCCTCGGGATTCTTGCAGTGCGCGATTACCACACCTGCGCCGGTACCGGACCCGTCAGCTGCGATGATGACGGGGCGGGCGGGACCATACGCTGAAAGCGCTAAGCTGTGATTCACGAGAGCCTTGATGTTGAGAAACGCGCGGGCATACGTCTGACTTGAGTACCATTCCTTTTGGAAGCCGCGACGATCGGCATATTGTTTGTTGAGCAGTTTGTTCAAGGGATGCATGAGAATGCCGTAATCGGGGAGACCGTCCGAAATGAATCCCAGAAATCCCCGGAAAGACCGAATGTCTTCTTGGCGTTGTGGTGTAGGCCAGAAAAGTACAATGTCAAGCTTGCCGGCGGTAGTGGCTATCTGTCCCGACCCAACAATCTTGCCAAGCGCTGGAACACGCTGAGCAGCGATCAAGCATTTGTGTTCGGAAATGGAAGCAGTGTGGTCTTTAACAGCTTGGAGAAAAGCACGGATGCGGTCCAAGTGAGTGGGGCGGTGAGGATCATCGGGAGGTGCACGTAAATTGTCGTCCTCATCGCCAAGGTAGCCGTCATCACGGAAGAATTTGGTGTGGTCTTTTGAGCAAGACGACATCGCGGAAAATGTCATTGAGTTGAAAGGAGAACCATTTGCCGGTGTCGCAGAAGCCCATGCAACCGACAACATATTGATATATGCCGCGCGGCAAGAGGATGGAAGTAAGCCAGCGCGCAGCCACATGGAGAGGACATTGATGATATCCCAGTCGAAAATCGAACGACGACAAGCGGCGGTATCTTGCGATGCGCTGAAGAATAGTATGAGCGGGAAGGATGGGATATCAGATCGGTTCGATCTCTGAATTGACCTTGAAGTTGGCGCAGACGCGGGCGACGCCATTTTTCCACAGAACGAGCGGAAGCAGTCTTTGGGGGTTCTTTGGCCGGTTCCAATTTGTTCCATGCAAGCATGCGGTCGAGCCATTCGTTCAACAGTTTCATATCGCGCCGTTACAAATATCGTCTAGAACTTGTTGACCATCATAATCGAATTCAACGCGCATACCCTTCACCGGCAGATCTTCCTTTGTCAATTGAGCCATGCTGGCGACGCGAGTTTCCGAGCGGATGCGAGGAGCAGAAGGAGCGATTGTCTTGGGAACACGACCATGGGCCTCCCCGTCGGCTTCTTTGGCAGCGGTCAATTCACGAATCTGTTCGGCTTCCCCCGTCGCTCCGTGCACAGTGACCCAGCTGGAGTGCACCCGAAAATGGTACAAGGCACCCTTCCACTCGGTAATCGCGTCACAGTATTCGAAGAAAGGACGACCGAGCAGGCATTCAGCGTCCATATTGTGGATAGAGAGAACGTTGAGAGGAATCTCCCGCGATGGTGACCACTAATCCGTGCCCTTCGCCCTCGATACTAGGGGAGGTACCGTCGACCATGCGGAGCCGAAAGGCGGGATTGACTTGGGATAGGCGCCAATGGTTCTTCTGGCGAATCTTGGCGCTGATGGCGAGCAGACAACAACCGCTATCGAAATAGCACTTGGTCATAACCCCTTGCACCGGTGCATTGACGAAATGCGTCCCGGTTTCGGAAACATTGATCTTCAGTTTCTTGAGATGAAAGTCGATACGACTGTCGAGATCTTGGGGATCACCGGGAGGATCGACGTCGGGATGCCAGGCACCTAATAGCGGTTCACGAAAACATAAAGCTGCACGACGAGGCTTGGGCACCAGTTTCATGGCATCGCGTAACTTCTCCCGAAGCGCGGGGCTCCATTGCAAGAGGTCCGCGAGGGTGAGGCCACAAACTTCCGTTTCGTTGAGAAACGTAACGATGTCAAACGGTTTGCGGTCGATTAAAGCACGAATAACGGTTGGGATCCGCCCATCTTCCGGTGGTGGGGGAGTGACACTGCGCGCGGGAGATGCTGCCCGTGGAGGCGGGGACTTAGGGCGGGACGAACCAGCAGCCGCCGGCTTGGGTTTCGGAGGTGTCGGTGGACGAACAGGCGAATCGACGTCCATGGGAGGGGAAGGGTCCTGAAAGCCAACATTCTTGGCCAGAGGAGGCGGTACAGGTACCGAAGTTCTGACGTTATCCCAAGTCGACGTGCACGCTTGATACGGTGCTTGAGAGAACGCACCGGACCGCGACGGATGACGTGTCACGGGATCCGAAGCCTTCGCCGGGGGTGGTTGAGGAACAGCCTTCGCCGGTGGTGGTTGAGGAACAGGAAGTGGTCGTTGGTTTGGTGGCCATTGAGGGAGAGGAGTCGTCGTGATATTCAACCGCTTGGAAGGTGGTAAAGCGCTCTCATCCTCAACCGCTTTTCGTTTTTCGGCTAACCATACAGCTTATTCACCGTAATCCCAAGATTGAGGTAGTTCATGGGAGAGATCGGGGCCCTCTACGCCGAGCTCCCATGCCAAAAATCCGCTTCTTCCGGTTCTTTGTAGTAATCCCCAACCTTGCGCAAGACATTCATGTAGTACTCCTGATGTTCGTCGTCGTATTCGTGATCAGGATAGAAGGAAGCGGCAAGTTGATAACCTCGCCAAGTGTCAAGCTTGGTCATCGACTTGCATTCGCGGGCCATATGGCTGGTCTGGCCGCAACGGAAACAAGAACGTTCACGTCGCTGGGGACGAAGAGACGGCGGTCCGGGGGGATACCAGTTGGCATTGGCACCCGTTTTAACCGCGAGATTCTGCATGCGCGTGGCGAGGTCATCTACCGCATTCGGAACCGCCGGAATGGTGGTCGTAGTGGTAACCGCTGCCGGCGTCGTCGCTGCGCGTGTACCGGGAGCACGAGACGGAAGGGTCGCACGCTGGTTCCATCGAGAAATAGAAGATCGCAAAGTGTCGGGGACCGCCGGACGATCTTGAGATACCGTACGGTTGCCAGCCGGAGTAGAGTAGGCTTCGTCTCGTTCGGCGTACGCAGCACAAGCGCGCACCAAGTCGGTAACCGGGATGCTGTTAAAGTTCGGGAGTGCGAGGGCATACGCGCGAGTACTTGAATCACCTAATCCGCGAAGGAAGGCACGCGCAATCTGAGACTGTGTCAGCTCCGTGGAAACCATAGCAATATGTTTGTTGAGATATTCGAGCTCGTCGACCATTGAAAGGAACGAGCTACCATACTGTCGGACGGTCTGACCTTCGGCACGGGAGAAGGACTGGATGCAATCCGCAACGAGGGACGAATCACGATCGACCGACGAGGCACATTCCAAGACCATATCGGTACGAACCCGGGCCCAATCTTGATTGTTGCCTTTGTACGCTGTGTACCAAGTCCACGTTAAGGTGTCCTTGTCGTCGAGAGCCTGGGACAACCACCGAAAGCGATCCTTTTCTTGTACGCCGCACGAGTCGGCAAGACGATCAAACGTACGGAGCCATTGAAGAATGCGGCAGGAATCTTGATTATACTTGGTGCCATCGTATTTGGGCAGACCTTTGGTGACTCCGGTACCCGACGCAGTGGGAGTTACGCGTTGCATCTGATCAAGAGTGCGATCGATTAAAGCCATCATCTCCTGCGGTGACGGGTTGATAGGAGTACTCTGAGGACGTAAATCGGCATCAGCACCAGGACGAATAGCACCAGCATGAACCGGCAGGAGACGGCCCGTAGTACGCTGACGATTGGGTCTGGCTTGGTATCGATTGCGCGCAGAACGCCATTGGATCGCAACGCGGGTGATATCACCGAGTTCGCGCAAAGCGAACTGAGAGGGGTTGGCGTCGATAGCGTAGCGCAAACGCAAAGCGGTGGCGGTCGGGCGTTCGAGAGTGTTTCCGGCCAAACCTTTGCAAACGGTATCAAAGTTCAGCCCCATCTCAAAACAGAAGCGCAAGAAGCCGAACGCGATTTCCTCATCCAAGTGCGTGAAAGGTCCATACAGCGCAACACCAAAGCCGTTGTAATCGATGCCGCCAGCGGCAAGATAACAATAGATACGAGCGCGGGAAGCGTCGGAACCACAAGCGCATGCGGAATGTTCGCTGTCGGAATCGCTATGATCCGTGGGATCCTCGCGGGGGTCATGCAAATCACTAATGACCTGAAGGGGCTCGCGCCAAGTGCCACCGTTGTCACCGAACGAAGAAGGAAAAGCGGACATCGTGGAAGCGTGTACGAGCGGGCTAGCTGAGAAAGATCTTGTGTAAACCTTGGAAGGCCGGTGGATGGATAGATAGATGGATGGATGGATGGATGGATGAATGGATGCCGGAGGAATCCGCGTGGGACTATGGATTTTCTTAACAACAAGCGGTACGATACGGACGTTGCTGTACTTCCAGCGAGTATGCGGGAACGGGCGGATATTCGTATCTGAAGATGGTTTTTGTCGCTAGGATAGGCAAAATAACTCACTTCCCCATTCTCCACCAGAATGTGGTATGCAGGGAAAATGTGTATGTATTTTGTTAAGGAGTAAACCTTCGACGCCGCAAGCGGGCGGAAGAAGAGAGGAAAAGATACAACATGAGAACACGCAAGTCACATGACTCCAGATATAAATTAAATAAACTACATGTGGGGAAAGGTGTGGAAGTCCACCCAGGGTTCCGCACCACACCACAACGTCTGCGAAGTCTTGTCCCACCTCGGCCAGCATGGGTTGTATGCCAAACCCGAGAAGTGCCAATTCAACCGCGAATCTGTCGAGTTCCTCGGCTTCATCATCTCCGAGAAAGGCATCCAGATGGACCCCAAGAAGATCGCTGCCATCACGAATTGGGAGCCCTCCAGGAATGTCAAAGGCGTCCAGCGTTTCCTCGGCTTTGCCAACTTCTACCGCCGATTCATCCAAGGCTATTCCAAGATCGCTACCCCGCTCACAGCCCTGACCCGGAAAGACATCCCATACGCCTGGACACCCGCCGCAAACACTGCCTTCGAGATCCTGAAGAAAGCATTCACCACCGCCCCCATCCTTGCTCACCCTGACCCAGAGAAGCCCTTCGTCGTCGAAACTGACGCCTCCGACTTCGCTCTTGGCGCAGTTCTCCTCCAACCTGACCAGGACAATCAGCTCCACCCCGTGGCCTTCCACTCTCGCAAATTCACGGCCGAAGAGATCAACTACAAGGTCTACGACAAGGAACTTCTGGCCATCCAAGACTCCTTTGCCCAGTGGCAACACCATCTCATTGGCGCCCGTCACAAGATCACCGTTTACTCCGACCATAAAAACCTTCAGTACTTCATGACCACCCGCACCCTGAACCGCCGCCAAGCCCGCTGGTCGATATTCTTCTCGGATTTTGACTTTGTCATTACCTATCGCCCCGGTTCCCAGCAGCACCAAGCTGATGCCCTCTCCCGACGCTCCGAACATGAGCTAAAAAAGGGGGAAGAAGCGTTCCGCTCCCAGGCAACCACAATTTTGACTCCCGAACGCCTTCGACTCGCCGCGGCCTACCTCACACCCATGGATACCATGCTGCTTGACAAGATTAAGGCCGCCCAGGCCTCTGACCCCCTCGCTAAGACCATCCGCAAAGAGCTCAAGTTACCCCTTGCCCAACGGACCGAGGAAACCCAAGATCGTATCAAGCGGTTCTCAGATGAAGATAGGATCCTGCTGCACGATAACCTGGTCTACGTCCCCACCAACGAGCTCCGAGCTGAAGTCTGCCACGACATGCACGATACACCCCTAGCCGGCCACTTTGGGATGTCCAAGACGCTCGAACTTGCCTCCCGCAACTACTGGTGGCCCAGCCAGTGGCGCTTCGTCAAGGCCTACATCAGGTCCTGCGATATCTGTAGCCAAGCGAAATCCAGTCAACACAAACCTTACGGCCTACTCCGACCCAACAGTATCCCTACCCGCCCTTGAGGATCTTGGTCCCTGGACTTTATCACCGGTCTGCCTCCCGTTGATGGGTACGACTCCATCCTGAAGGTCAATTGTTGCCTCACCAAGATGGCCCACTTCATCGCCTGCAGCGAGTCAGAATCCGCCAAATCCACCGCCAACCTAGTCTCCCACAATATCATCCGTCTCCATGGCCTCCCCGACGACATCATCTCTGACCGAGGACCCCAGTTCAAGTCCCGTTTCTGGCGTCGACTTCTCGAACTCCTTGGGGCAAAAGCCAACCCCTCCTTGGCCTTCCACCCCCAGAGCGACGGCCAGACGGAACGCACCAACCAGATCCTGGAGCAGTATCTCCGATGCTTTTGCAACCACCAACAGGACAACTGGAAGCGGCTTCTGTCGTCCGCCGAGTTCGCCTACAACAACACCCACCAGTCCGCTTCCCAGACCACCCGCTTCTACACCAACAAGGGTCTCCACCCCTGCTTCAGTTTCGCTGACTCTGCTACCTCCGAATCCGTCAACCCCGCCGCTGAAGCCCGCGCTCAACAAATCAGGGAAGTCCATGAACAGCTTGTCCTTGAGCTCAAGGAAGCGCAAGACCGAATGAAGCGCTATGCCGACGCTAAGCGAATTCCTGGACCAGACTTCAAGCCTGGCGACCACGTCTGGCTCCTCCGCAAAAACCTCCAGACAACCCGGCCCTCTCAGAAACTCGACCATCACAAGATTGGACAATTTCCCATCGTTGAAAAGATCAATCCAGTCGCCTACCGGCTCAAGCTCCTGCCTACGTACAAAATCCACGATGTCTTCCATGTCTCGCTCCTTGAACCCCGCTTCACCATCCCCGAACGACACAAACCCAAACCCGCGGCCCCAGAGACCGTTGAGGGTCAAGAGGAGTGGGTTGTCGAAGCCCCCTTGACTCTCGCATCCATCGTAGTCGCCTTCAGTACTTGGTCAAATGGCAGGGCTGGCCTGACTCCGAGAACACCTGGGAGCCCGTGGAACACCTCACCCATACCGACGCACTCCTCAAGGACTTCCACAGCGCGTACCCCAACAAGCCTTGGGAAGCTCTGTCCCCGGTGCCCCTCCTCTGCGACCACACCAAACTCGACGCCGCGGCAGCCGCCGCTAAAGAGAGGGGTGATGTTATGGACGACGCGCCAATACCATAAGCTTACCTACTGACAGCCGCCAATGTCAACCGCCAATGTCAAACGCCAATGTCAATGTCAATGTCAGTGTCAATGTCAGTGTCACTGTCAATGTCAATGCCACTCCCCCTCTCTCCTCTCATTTCGCCAACCCTCCCGCAATATTGCCACTCCTCCTCTCTCCTCTCATTTTGCCAATCCCCCCTCGGCTTCTCCACATCCCCCACTACTTCTCCATAGCCAGCAGCTGTAGCAATGCTCTCTACGCTCGCCACGCACGCTCTCGGAGCAAAGCTGGCGCCCCCCCAGTCCCCTCTGGTTGTTGTTGTTCTCTGATCTGCTGGGTTGCCTATCTATAAATAGCCGGCCTCTCTTCGTCCATTCCTTTCCTCCCCAGCAGATCAACACCAGTCCTTCTCATCCCTTGTTCTAGTCTTGTCTCCTGTTTCGCCAATACAATCTCTTGTCGCCCCTCGCTCTCGCCTTGTCTTCTCTACTTCGCTTCCACCTCAGTCGTCGAGATCATAACAACTTCAGACTTCCATACCTACTTCACAGTACTACATCTCACACAACATAGAGTTTGCTCAGTCATCTGCTTCCTCTGCCGACTACTGCTAAGTGGTTATGAGCCCTGGTTTCCCCCGCAACTAGCGGACGTTCCAGGATAAAGAACTCACGGTCTCCAGTCACCGCTCTCTTAGAAAGCACCATGCCACCTCAGGATTTGACAACCCAACCTCAGAAGGTCTACGCAGCTGCAGTGACAGCCGGCAAGCCCTCCGCCCACCACACGCGGTCCCAAGGAGGAGCTCTCCTGGGACCCCTACCTGCGGCTACTAGAGGAGGAGGAAACAAAGTTCAACAACCCCCTGTTAAGAGTTCTGAATCTATTAAGCAGCGCTCTGGCATTGACTCACGTACTCCGCTTAATCAAGGCGTAGCCCGTCATGCCAACTTACGCAGTGAACCAACACCTACCCCGCCTTACAAAAGGCCTGGTGGATTTGTGGATGAGAAGAAGAGGAAAGAGGAACTTTCCGCCACTATTGCAGAATGGAATGACGCAACCACGCCATATGTGGATGCGCCTGAATCACGCGGACATACCGGAACCGCAAACAACCCCTTCCTGATGGATTCCATTCAGAAAGAACCTATGCCTGTCAAGCAGGAAGAGGAGATGATTCAAATAAAGGATCAAATAGCCAATCTGACTGGATTGGTTACCTCGCTCTTGAATTCGGGCCGAGCGCCACAACAAGGCAGACCTCCCGTCCCCTCCGTGAACCCGCTTGCTCAGTCGCCTGTGAACAGCACTCGCTCTCAGTATTCGACTAGCCCTATCCAGGAAAACGTGCCATATATGACCTCTGTGTCGCCGGCACCCCATGCGCCTCCTCAGCGCGCTATGGCCTGCTCCGTCCCATACGCTTACAAAGCCCCGGAACGGCATCCATACTTTCAAACCCAGTCTCAAAGCCCTCCTTTCGCTGAAATTCCTCACAAAAGTGCATCTGTGAGATCAGTTACTCCCGTAACACCCCCCACGGCCGGCGAATCAGCTTCCAAAGTCTTCATCAACACTACGCTTAGTGAACTCGGCACCTACAACGACGACCCCAATGTTACCAAGCTTCAAGGGTTCCTTGATCACATCGACGTGATTATGAAGTACCAGATGATTTTGCCTTCCGCATGCGTAGACTTCGTCGTCAACGCGCTCACTGGACCAGCTCTCCAGTGGTGGAAAAGCCTTCCTGAAAACGAGCGCTTCTCCATAATTTCATGGCACAATATTCAAGACGCCTATGGACTGCCCCCGCAACTCGGATTACGCTCCGCGATGTTAAGGCGCTTCATTCCCCGGACTCATCTGCCGCAAGTTCTTCACAGACTGCGCGCACTGAAGCCCAAGTCCATCCACCATCAAGGTTTAACTGAATTCGTCGCCCAGTTCAACCTTTTGGCTGCACAACTCCCCGGGCTCCTGGAATACGTGCTCTGTGCCGACTTCCTTCAAGCCCTTCCTAAGAATCTAAGTACCCTGATCACTGCTCAGGCTCAGTACGACGATAGACTTAGCCCTTCTCAAGAAGCCGCGATTCGTATAGCCGCCCAGCTCAACAA